ATGGGCTCCTGAGGTCCCAGAGGTATGGAGTGCAGTTAAATGGTGTCCTGGGGATATGGAGTCCTAGAGATAAGGGATGCAGAGAGCACAGGATCCCGAGGTCATGGGCTCTTGAGGTCCCAGAGATACAGAGTGTGGGTACATGGTGTCCTGGGGGTATGGTGTTCTGGGAATATGGGTTTCTCGGGATAAGGGTGCAGGGAGCAGAGAGCACAGGATCTTGGGGTCCTGGGCTCCTGAGGTCCCAGAGGTTTGGAGTCCAGGTACATGATGCATGATGTCCTGGGGGTATAGGGTGCTGGGGATATGGAGTTCTGGGCATAAGGGATGAAGAGAGCAGAGAGCATAGGATCCCAGGGTCACAGGGTCCTAAGTCTGTGCCTGGGGCACACCAGGGCCTGGACACACGGGTCAAGGGCACGTGGCATCTGGGCCACAGCGAGACCTGTGCACAGGGGCTGTGGAACAGCTGGGCTCCTGGATGTAGGAGGCTGCAGATGTGCAGTGCCTGGGCACATGGGTGCAGGGCAGGTGGTGTCACACCCCCCCATCCTGGCAGGGCCCAACCTGGCCTGTGCCAATCCTCGGCTTGTCCTGCCCACCCCCCTGAGTGGCTCTGACGGGAGCCTGGCACTGGCACTGCCCTTCAGCTGGCGCACGTGTGCATACATGTGCTTGTTGCTAAACTTGTCCCTCTCATATGTCTCCCAGACATTTGCCTTGAAGGTTTTGGCTACAGAAGGGTAAAGAGATGGCCATGGTGTGGGGTGAGCTCAGCTCTGCCTACAGCCCTGCGCCAGGGACTCTCCTTGGGCTCCTGCAGTCCCTTGGCCCTAGAATGTGTGTGTACAGGGAACAACCACACATTGGGAAAGCAAGTGCTGGCATTACTGGGATCTGCTCTCTCATAAGGCCTCCTTACTTATAGCGAATCCTGGGATCTGCTCCACCCTTATCTCCACAGGTGGGTTCAGAGCATTTCCCTCCTTCTCACTGTGTGTTTGACCCCAGTATCTGCCCTGCTTTCAGCCATTGTCTGCTCAGTCAGAAAGATCAGACTCTGCAGGTGGGCAATGCCAGTCACGGATGGGTTCATGGCTGACAGCTCTGGTTTCTCCATCTTTGGGGTTTCCCAACATTCCCCTCACCAGCACTGAGCTGCTGCTGTTTGCTGCTGGAATGAGAGATACTTTCCATACATCCCAGTACGACCTATGATCCCACACACTGTGAGGAGTCACCAGACATGGGCTGAAATGCCCCACTTCCCTGCAGCCCTCTCTGTGAAGCTGCTCGGGGTGGCAGGGAGAGAGATCAGAGCTCCCAGCCCTCTCCTTGACCCCAGTGAGCACGAAGCTGGTGAGGAACAGCCGTCCCCTTTGTCGTGCCTCTTCTGAACCACCATTCAGCCAGGGAAACAATGCTTAAACTGTGCTTGGTTTGCTTTGTAACTTCTTCCCTGCCACGTGATGCTCACACCAAACCCCAGGGGTCCCGTGTGAGGGGATGCAGGCAGGTGGGTGAGCCAGGCAGGATACTGCACACCAGTGTCATGTTTAGAAACTCTTGGTGACTACATCTGAGGAAGGGAATAAAAGAAGGATAACATGAGCTGAGCTGCTTTGCCGGAGAGAATTACGTCCAGTGCTTGTCAGCACGATTCGTCATCCGAGGATCCCCGTGGATCCACCACGACTCCTGGCGTCTTGGATGTCAGCCACGGCACGGAAAATCCTCTTTCACCGCTCATTTCCGATTCCAGGTGAAAACTCATTAAAGGCAGCTGCTTCACCACTCCCTGCTGTCACCAGGGCACTCACATATCAGTCACGTCCTATCACTGCAGGCATGGGACAATTTGTGCCAAAGTGCGGGATCAAGAGAAATGGTTTAAAAATAGATGATTCTACAGCCCTCCCTTTGTGTCTGTTGCAGCCTCACCTGCCTGTGCCTTGCCACCCATCGCTGATGGCAGCAGTACCCATCACCTCTCTGTGTGCCACCTGCTCTGGGAGATGGCCACGTGCAACCATGAAGCCCGTATCCTTTGCTCCTCGTTGCCAGGACACTGTCATTGATTTGGATGTCCAGTGTAGTGACTAGCCAAGTTGCCCAGCATTTTTACTCATCGTCCACACATGCCTGGGCAAGCCAAATGGTATTGGAGCCCAAAAGCAGGGCATTAGCACAGTTGCAAAGCAAAACTGCCTTTTGTGTAGGAAAGTAATGTCTTTGGTTTGGAAGTGGGACTTTTTTTCGCAGGCCAAACACTCCTATAGAGGTGGAGGAAAGAGTTACAACCATAGGGTGCTTTGGGCCTAGCACTGGCTTAAAAATTGGCCAGAGTGTGGTGAGTCCTTGCAGCCTCACAGCTGGGTAACCCATAGGCTGACCCGTGTTTGCAAAATGTGTTTTTCACATGCATTTGTAGGAAAGGCAGCCTTTTTGTGGGATACACTGGATTTTATTTGCCCCCAAAATTGTTTATAGAGTGCCCAGCACTAGCAATGAAACAAGAAAGGTTTTAATTTTGAGATATATATATTTTTTTGTGCAGCCCCATGGGCATGACTTGTTTGTTTGAAGTCCAGCCTGGTTTTAATCACCTTGAATTAAGTAACTGATCTTCCTAATGATCCGACTATGAGAGGGCTTATCACAGGTTCCTTGGCACATGACGAAGATTACTCTGTTGGTGCAACCCCTTCCGAGTAATGTGACGTGTCCTCTCAGAGCTATTTTTGTCTTCACCCTCATCTGGGACCTTGATCCTTTGGTTTCTCCAGCCATTGACCAGCTAAAATCCTCTTAATGCTACGGAAACCCCAACTACGTAATGGGACGACAGAAAAAGCTCTGCCATTTCTTGTTGCAGACGTCATTTGCTTCCTGAGGCTTTCATTAAATTGAGGGCAGGATCATATTGACTTAACGGACATGACTGTGGGTGTAATTAAAAACCAAATGAAAAGAGGCAGTATCAGGGAGCACACTGAACATGGTTAATGTTTAGTGCTGGGTTTGAGCATGTGATGAAAATGGGAAGAGTACATCCCTTATCCTTGAACAGGGCTGAAGGATATGGGGTTTACTCCAGTCCTTGCAAGGATTCTGTGCATGGGTTTGACTCTGAATATTTACCAGTCTCCCCTCAAAGGTGGCAGACTCAGGACCGAAGTTAGCAGAGTTAGGACAACAGCTCCAGACCCATGGTGGGCTGGAGCAGCAGAGCTGCCACTTTGCTTTAATCCTCTGGGGACTTCGTCAACAAGTTAGAGAGAAATGCCTAACGTCCTGTTTAGCTAAAATTAAACATCTTCAAAGAGGTGTAGGGAATGAGGAGAGTTGGGGGTTTGCAGCAAGGGGCACTGGGCTGGAATATACACACTGTGTCGCCCTCTTACTGCAGGTACATCACTGATCTCCAGTTTAATCTCTCTGTGCCACCAGCATTTTGTCTGTAGAAGAAGTGCTGTAATGCTGCTTCAACTGTCCTGTTTTAGCTGGTAAGTTCTTTAGGTCATGGATATTATGCAAGTGTATTGTTTTGGTCCTTGAGGTCCTGGCTCTGTGTGGGGAACCCTCTGCTCTGCTGTGTTAGACTGGGGACTGAGGCTGGTCATCCTGCAGAGAGACACAGCACAGAGCTGCTGGCAGTCACTAGACAGGATTTGTTCTCCTTTGGTGAGGACAAGCCATGTGAGGAGGTGGATGGCAGCCCCAGGCACTCTATTCAGCTGTGATGAATAATAGCTGCTGCTGACACCTCGTGGAAGCCTTACACAAATATTTTCTCCAGAAACCTTTTGGTTTCGTTTCCCCTTCTGCTGCTGGTTCCCCGTCTGAGGAGCTGGGAGCTGGCCCTTTGCTTCTGTCATCTCTGGAGCACGCAGCTGGGAAGGAGGCAGCAGGGACCTTGTCTACCTGCAGCACCAGGGATGGGAAGGAAGCCGAGGAAGGCTGCCCAGGGCTGTCCTTTCCCTCCTAAAAATGGTGGTGAGTGAGGGCAGTTCACCATAGATATGTGTTGCACATCAGATGCAGAGAGGAGAGCACTCCCCTCCCAGGTTACAGACCTGGGTCTGTAACACCCATCATGCACATGCCTTTTGTGTGCCTGTTTCCCCATCTCCCTTTTTCAGGGGAGCATACTGGGAAGTGGCTGTTACAAATCACACTGTCCTTTCATTTCAGAATCTTGAATCACTTTGAAAGAGAGTGAAAAGTTTTCCTGGGAAGTGCAAAAATATTTTCATTTGAGAAACAAGACCACTGAAGAAGCTACAGTGTCAGTGCTGATCTGGGTTGGGGCACTGCTCCTGGCTCCTGTGCTGGAACCACCAGACAACATCACTCCATCCGGGGGAGGAGTCGTGGCCTTGAGTCTCGCCCTGTTCTCACCACTCACCATCACACTGCCTTGCTCAGCACCCACTTCTTCTTCCTCCTCAGTCTTCATTTGTATTACAGTCACTCTCTACTTGCTTGATTTTGTATGAATCACCATTTCACACTGAGCCTGAGTTGCCCATAACTTCAGCTGCTTTGCTTTCTCTGCTGCATTATAGGGTCAGCTCCATCCTGACCCATGGCATGAAAAAAGGTCTGCTTTGGAAACAACAAAGTGAGCAAGTCTTCACTTGTTACTTTTGTTTCCTGGCTGCTGCTGAGTGAATTCCAAAAATATGCATCCCAAATGATACTTGGTGACTGAGCACTGGAACAGGTTGCCCGGAGAGGTTAAGGAGTCTCCTTCCCTGGAGATATTAAAAGCTGTTGGGACACAATCCTGAGTAATGTGTTCCAGGAGACTCTACTTGAGCAGGACTAGATGATCTCCACTGGTCCCTTCCAACCTTACCCATCTGTAATTCTTGGGAGCCCAAGTGATGCTCTGATACACTTTGTTTTAGAAAGGAAATGTCTCAACCAACTCTGGAGGAAGTATATGGTGTGAGGGTTGACCACTGCCAAACATCAGTCCCAGCTAATGGGAGGCTGAATAAGCAGCTCAGTTGGTGTCACGGATTTTTTGAGGCTGTCATTGTTCACTTGGTGGGACAACCCAGTTTTTAAGGCTTTGAAACTTATTTTTTATTCTGGTTCCTCGATAGAGAAAAGTGGTTTTGCAGAAGTGAGACGGACAGCAAGGTGATGAGATCTTTTAGCTGCAGCTGTCTCACAAGCCCTCAGGGATGCTCACAGGCTGTCATCAGTGTCCTCTTCACTTTGACTGGGTTCGTGGGCCACCCCTCATTAAGCCTTGATTTTGACACCTGTAATAAAAGAGCCACGTTCATCCTTTTGGAAACTTGGGGAAACCCCCAGAACTGCAGCAGAGATTAAATTTCATCCCTCATGTTGCAGAGGAAAGCTGAAATGTGTAGTTGTCCCTTAAAAGACTGAAAAGTACCCTTTGGGGAGCCTTTCTGTTTCGTAAGCAAGCGTTCGAGAGGGGTCAGAGAGCTCCTGGCGCCTGTGAAGGATTTTGGCCTTCAGCTTGATGTTGGTTGTTAAAAATATTTTCCCAGATGTATTAATACAACCAGACTGGATTGCATCTGAGCTGAACATTGTGAGCCTCAGGCAGGACATAAATATAGAAGCAAAACAGCCTGACATAAGAGTCATCTGTCCTCTTGTACACAAGAAGTGAAGGGGAAAGAGAGGGAACTTATTCTGTTGCAATTTTTAGACACTTCCAGGAATTAGCCCGAGCCTCAGAGAGTGCCTGCATGGGGGTCCTGGGGCACAGAAGCCCCCATGTATCACTCTCAGCCCCTGGTGTACTATGTCACAGGACTGCACATTTAGCACATTTTTAACTCAGGGTTAGATTTGCCTAGACAAGGTCTGCAATCAGGAATGACTATTTGTGTGATGTGTTTGCCTAACAGGATTACCCTTATCATAATGATATAGCAACCTGGCCTTGGCAGAGCAAACCCCAAGGGCTCAGGGGGTCAAACCCTTGCCTCCATTGCCCCAAATATGCACAGCACAGCTTGTCTCTTATCATGCAATATCCAGTCCTGCTTCAGCTGGCATTCAGATTTTGGAAAGAGCAATTGTGCCGTGTAATGCTACCTGCTGACATCACACTTGGCATTTCCCTCTCTGCACCTGAAAAAAAAAATCAATAATATTCAAAGGTTAGAAAAATGAAGCAGTGTTTTACAATTAGAGAATGGGTTGCCTTCCCCAGTGGAAATTGCTCTGAGCAGGTGCCTGATTGAATTCAGTGAGAATTTGTTGCCCTCTGGCTCCATAAGAAACAATGAGTTGTCTGCTTTTGAATTGTACATCTTAAAATAATTACAAAATCATCTGCTCATCCATAAAAGTGTACCTGTGATTATTAAAGTTTGCCAACTTAAAAGACTTGAGGGAGGTGCAGGATGAAAGCTCAGTTTTCCCACAGATAAGTAGGACAAAGGCTTTGCGCAGAGCCTGACCCCACTGATCTTATCCACCCAGGCTTATCCACTACAGTTTCTGGCCAGGCTGGGGACACCTCCTGGCTCCCTGTTGGTGTCATTTTAACCCCAGCACTTCTCAGGCCAGCTGACGTGAGCCTGTCCTTACCAGCTCCCAGGCTATTTGCAGAAGCAGAACCTGCCGCTCGCTATGTGTCAGTTCCAAAACAAGCAGGATCCTCTATTTATAATGTGCTATAATTGACCTGAATGAAACCTGTGGTTCTTCAGGCTGCAGGGCCCCAGGACTGCTGATGCAGTGGCACCCTAATTCCAAGGGATGCTGCTGGGAATGCCAAAATGGCTCTGCATAAAGCCGAGGGATGTGTAGGTACATAGTGTGAGCGGTACATTCACAGGCTCCTGGTTTCTGGAGCAGGCTGTACTCATCAGAGCTATGTAGATCCCCTTCTCTAGATAAGATCTGGGGGGATGGAGCCTCTTTGGAGCAAAGCAGAGAGATATTTTTGTGCTGCAGTAGCTTCACTGTGTAAATGCCTGGGTTGCCACGGGGAGCATTACCTTTTTTTCCCCCAAGGCATTTATAGCTGGGATGTGAGCAGGGCTCTGCGACTCAGGAATTATCTATTCAGCCATTGGGCCTAAAAGATTTGAGTTCACCTGTGATTAGCGTATATTTAATTGTGGTGGCGTGTGTGGCTGCTCAGATCCTGGTGTTCAGCATGGAACTGTTCTGACCTCGTAGCCTGTTACAGGACAAACTCCTGTCTAAGACAAAGAAAAGCAGCCACCTCACTTTTGTTTAGAGGCCAGTACATACAGTATAATGCTCACCCAAGGGTTGATTTGATCTGTCTTTGCTGTATAAACTTCTCCGCCATTTGAATCGTAAAACACAATAGATATAAGGCCAAGCAGAAGGATTAAAAAAAGAATTGGCTAATGCTTTGCGTGTCTTAGAGGACTTATTTTTATTCCCATTTGTTCATTCTCACTGCTCTTGGCTGCCACTGGGGCTGTTGAAATAACAAACAGGGATGAAGAAAGAGGGCAGCTCTGCCGTGAGCTTCCTTCAGTGGGAAGCAGCTGCAGTGCAGCAGTTAACTAACAGCGACTGCAGCCTCCATAGCTTTGTGGCCTACATCCCAACAGGAAACCTGCCTTGTTTCTGTCAAAAAAGGGATTGGATTATCAGTCAAAAGCCTTTTTGATGCGAAGTGGTGTTTAGAGTCTGTCTTTCCCTTTTGCTTTGTAAAAAAAGTAGTCAGAAGTCTTCTAGCGCTGCCTGCTGCTGCTCCGCTGCCAAGAAAACCTCCCGGGTCTGGTGATGAGGCCTCTGTAATACTTCCGGTTTCTCTGTAATTATTTTCTAATTAAGTTTTCAAATCCAAGTACAATCATGAGGTTAAACCATAGAGAGTTCACAGTAGGGTCTTTCCGTTTGCTTTTTCTTTTTCTAAATCAGTAGCTATCCCCTACGTGGAGGTGATAGATAATTATGTGCATATGAAGGTGCTCAGAACCAGGATAGCAATGCCTTTTACCCGCTGAATTCAGCACTGGCATCACTTTATGCAACTTTCTATTTGGAAGCATTGCTTTTGCAATTGTAATTGCCTGATCAGATTTGTCTATTAGTATGTCTACTCATGGCTTATTAATTGGCTGGGGCATTAGGGTGCAACTCTCCTTGACAGCATTTTCCTCTGCTCCTCCACATGCAATTTAGGGAAATGGGAGTAATGATTTTTCCAAAGTGTTGCCAGTGTTTTTTGATGCCTCCAGATCAGAAATCAGAAATAAAAAAGGTCTAAAAAGATGATGTAAGGTAATGGGGAGATGAGATACATGACAAAAATAAGTCACGTGTAAATAGTGAAGCCCAGCTGCTAAGCACAGGACAAAGGTTGGCTTGCTCCCTGCCCCTACCTGAGCTGTGCAGGGGCCCCAGTGATCTCCTCCCCTTTGGCTCTGCTCCCTGGACCTCTCCTGTAGCCCTGCTTGGATACTGGGACCAGGACAGGCTCACTGGGCTCACCATCACTTTCCATCTCAGCAGCAGGGCTGCCCACAGTGGAGCAGCCACCACTGACCTGAACAGTGTGTTTGGAGGATTTTTATTGCAGAAAAGTGTGAAGCACACTTGGACAAGGTTTTGGGCTCCTTCAGAGTTTTTTGCAGAGCTGCAGGTCTGGGCAGAGCTGGTGCCTGTGCTGGCCCTCCAGCCCACCTGTGTACCCCACACACACCAACGTGGTCCCTCTCAGGCGAGGGTTGTTTGGTGGCTTTTGGGAGTGCTGATGTGTGGCAGCTCACTCGGTGATGGGTACAGCAGCATCTCCTGAAACACCCAACCATGCAAGTGGGACTTTCACTCATGATAAGGAGCATTGCAGGAGACAGACAAAATACTCAGGCTCCCCTCTTCACATCTCTTCTCTGTTGCTGCCAGCCTTTAGCCCCACTCTCCTGCCCCAAAATCAGGGATAGCAGAATCCTGTGTCCCAGTTTACAGCCAGGTGTTTCAGCTTAAACTACTGAGGAAAGTGGGTTGGGGCTAATATATCGGTGTGTTAGAGGAATGTAAGCCTTGGAGTAATGCCTGTGCTTGGGAGAGGTAATGCCATTGAGTTGGGTTGGGTTGGGTTTTGTTTGGTTTGGTTTCTTAAGTGATGTCAGCATTTGAGATCTCTTAGACTTGTGTCTGGGTTAAACCCACAGGAAATGTAAGATTTTGTATCAGTTTACCCTGGAAATCTTACTGCTGTCTCCGAGGCTCAAGTGCTCCTGGAGGCAGCCTGCCCTTGCAATTCATGTGTTCTGTGAAGCAGAAAGAAAAATATACTGGCCAGGGTTCAAGCACCTTTCTTGGTTGTCTTGGTGATAAGTGCCTGATAAGAGTTCAAGGTCTTTGCTTGCTTGTGTAGAATAAAAGCAGCTTTTCTTAAGTTACGGCTGGCATCCATGGTCTCCCAGAGGGTGCTGATCAGTTGTTCCCAATGGCTGGGCTGTTCTTAGTGAGTAAGACAAGGTTGTGCTGTGTGGGTTTAATTTGTCCTACAACAGAGGTGACCCTACAGGTTTTCAGTCTCTGGCACACTGTAGTGGCTATGCCATGGCAAGCATTCAGGATAAGCTGACTGTGTCCTCTGGAGGGCTGGGGCTTTGTGGAAGGAGTGCAGGATGGTGGCACAAGCTGACTGCAGTTGGTAGCCCACTGCACTGGTCCCTGGAAGCAAGCCAAAGATAGCTGCTGTGTTAGCACCATCATTAGGTTTCATAGTTGACAGCTTGTGGAGATGTAGAGGCAAGGTAAGCCTTCTTGGTGCTGCCACTTCCAGCTTTTGTTGTCTGGGGAAAAAGGGAATGGTTCTCTGATGCTTGGTTTGTGCTCTGAGAGACTAAGCATGTCTGAGGGCTGGGGTTTTTTTAGCAGGAGTGTGTGGATGGTGGTGTAGGGAGAGGTGAGGCGAGGTCAGAGCAGTGGGATGGAACATTCAGGCTTACTCTCAGGGCTCCAGTGGGCTGAAGCAGATGTCAGAAGCTGAAGTCTTTGGGTCACCTGCAGCGGTGAGGATGGAGCTGCATCCACTGCTGCCTCCAGCCCATGCTCTCATGAGGGTTCCCCAGCCCCGTCTGCCTGACGCCATGGGAAACTTCCCAAAGCTGGAGCCTCAACTGCCCTCATTTCTATACAGGCTGTTTAGTCATTTCCCACTTATAAACAAACATTTTAGAGACACTGCAGGAGCTGAGCCACTAAGAGGACAAAGCTCCATTGCTTTTAAAGTAGCTTGTTCATCAGCGAGTTTTATCATGCAGTGGCTCAGCCACTGATGAACTGAAATCACGCTCTGCTTGTGGTACAGGGAACAGGAAAATGTCCTTCTGGAGGCCAGTCTTTCAATCTCCAGCTTGAACATTTTAAGTATTGTAATTGGGGTGCCTTTTTTCTGAGATTTTTTTTTTAAGGAAAAATTATTTTATTTTTCCTTTTCTTTTTTAGTGAGGCCTGGCTTTGTCTCACTGTCTTTCCACTGATGAGCCCATGCTGTCTTGAGACCTCTCCTTCCTTACATGCAGAGGTATTCCTGGATTTCTCTGAGGACACTTGCATTGACAGCAACAGAGATCTGAAGTGTGGTGTTTGCTGCAAATTAAGGCAAACAATTGACCTCAGTCCTTGAAAAAGGAGGAATCTGCTCACCCGTGTTTAACTGCTCTCTGGATTCTGCACTTTTCTAACCTTCATTTCCACTTGTATGACCTGCCCAGAGGTGTGGGCTCACATGTTACTCCTGCTGACCTGGGCAGGACATTGTGTGCCTGGCGCGCCGTCCGCACTGACGTGGTTCTTGAAAACCCGATGTGACTGAGGGCATCCAGAGCTTGGGGGTGAGTTGTTGCCAGGTCTCCTGGAGCACTACCCAGCAGTGCTGGAAACAGCCTCAGGGATAAACACTCATGCAAATGATCAGGCAGACCCTTCCTCAAGGAGGGCCTCCCAAGACAATGTTTGTAGGGCTTAAAGTGGAAAATTGTTTCACCAAAAAAATTCCAGAGAGAGGGATAAGTAGTCAAAAAAAACAGTGGGAAGTTTTTAAATAAAATTTTAAACAGCATAATGGACATTTTAATTGAGAGATTTATTCTTGTCTCATTAAAAAAAAAAAAAAAGGTCAAAACTGTTATTTACCTAAAAGCTGTATCACGAGGGGCGGAGGCTGCCAGCATGAGGCAGGCAGAGCTGTGGGGCTGAGCCAGAGCTCCTGGGTACCACCTCTCCTGCTCTGCCCTCGGGCTGTGGGCTGGCACAGGCACAGAGCTCCTTCCTGCCCACCGGCAGCCTGATAAACACGGCTGGCTTGTGCTCACTGCTCAGCACAAGCTGGGTCGAGGCACCTGATAAATCTAAGCCAAAAAACGGAAGAGCGCTGGGCTGCTGAGGATGGAGCTGCTGTCAATTTGTTTTTCTTGGCTCAGCAGTTTCCCCTGAGATCTCCATCAGCGAATCGATGCTCGGTGTGGCGCTGTCCTGTCTCAGCTCCTCATCCCGGGAGGTGGGTGCCCTCAGGCTGGCCCCGAGGGACGTGTGGCCTGCAACAGCCACCCAGAGCAGCAGCCTGGGGCTGGCTCGACACTGAGCTTAACCCCCATCGGAGCTGCTGAGGTTCACTTCAGAGCTCAGTGTGTGCCAGGTGCTCTCTGAACTGAGACACCTACCTGGCTGCCGGTGTGAGGGGTGCATCACTCTGTTACATAAATATTTTGGGTTCCTTCCAGGTTACTGCACTCCACTAGGAGCTAGAAAATAGCATTTTCTGCAGGACTACCCCTTCTGTAGCAACAGCCTGCTTCTGTTTCCATGAGGCAGATTCAGGTTTTCCGGTGACATTGGTCAGGCACAAAAATCACATGCTCTGAGAGACGCAAACCAACAGTTTTGGCTGCCTTACCCCAAATGTCAGATTGTTTCAGTATTTTTTTTTTAATGATTTTTATCTTTACGGCTCTTCTCGCTAAGCTATTTAAAACTAGAAAACCAAGAAGCTTGTTGTAATTAAATTGGGACCACGGTACAAATCACCAGGGCTCTTCCCACCCACGTTCCGGCCAAAGTTGACTTGCGGTGCCTGTTCCAACTTGTAGCAGCTGCGAATGTATCGGCAGCCGAAGGTTCCCCCCTGCAGCACAGTGACAGCTACTGCAGGTGCCCCACTAGCTGGAGCTCATTTATCCACGTGGATTTTCATGTTAAGAAAAATGGGAAAAAAGAAGGCATCTTGCTCTGCTAAGATTCAGAGAAAATTCTACTGACTTTCAGTAGACGCAGATGGGGTTGTTAATGGCATGGAGGAATTGGCAATTATTGGCACTTCTTTGTGAGGCCCAACCTGGGGAGTTTCCCAGGGGGATGTGTTAGGCCACAGGTATTGGTATAACAAATACATCCACGGGTCAGCACCAGACAGCAGTTTTGCCCCTCAGCCATGATAAGACAGAAGAAAAAGGGGGCTAAAAGTTTAAATGGTTCAAGGGACAACTGAAAAAATTAATGGAGAAACTTGCTGAGGAATACTGAGGCAACACTACAGCCCAAGGATGTGCCTAAGAATGAAACTGTTGGAGGTAGTGGGAGTTTTGGGGGAAACATTTTTATTGATTCTCTGTTCTTGTAGTACCCCCTCCTCTGGGTGCACCCAGGATGGATGGACCTTCACCTGATCCAGCCCCACAGCTCTTGTTCTCTTAAAGGCATCTGTGCCAGTACTTACCAAAGCATTTGGGCTTTCTGTTGCTGCAGACTCTAACTGAATTTAGGCAATTGCAGGTAAAGGTACTACACAGAGGTCACAGATGAAATGCCCTTTCTAACTTTACCTGGTTAGATCCTTTTCTAAAGGAAAATTGAGCTCCTGAGAAATGTACTGGCCTTGTTCATCACCTACACCAAAGTGTGCCCACTGCGTTTACCACCTACACCAAGGTCTGCTGCCCACCTTGTGCATCACCTACACCAAGGGCATCTACCCGAGCATGTATTGACCTGCTCCATTTTAGGGACACAGTGGGGCTTGACCAGTAGTTGGCAGAGGCTCATAAAGCAGTAAAGCTTTGTTCATGAAGCTTTGTTCCCCTCTTACATGCACATACAGACCTCCTGAGCTTTAGCTGGCTGCTGGCACAGCCCTCAGCTTAGCACAGACTGTGTTTTCTCATGTGAAATTCAATAAATTCAGCATTTTCAGGACCTCGGCATAATCAGGGTTTTCAATCTTCTCCTTCATTGCCTTCTAATATACCCTCCTAACAATTAACTCTGTGTGCTGGGAGAATGCCAAATGCAGGGTAAAAGACTTCGTTTTTCTTTCCCATAATTAAATGTCGTGTTCGCCGCTGTCTCTCCCACTCGATTAAGTGTCCATGTAAGGTCTAAAATGCTCTTTGGTGAATTAGCATAAAGTCTGTGAGGATTTCAACCAACATTCTCCCTCTCGTTGCATCTGTGCAGCTCACGAAGAGCAGCATTGGCTGGCGCTGGGGGCTGTTCCCCCGGCCTTTTTCGGGGGGTCTGGCTCAGAGAGCACTGTGAGGCTGCCTGCCCACCTCCCCTCACCCCCTGCCCGGAGCAGTCATGCCTGGATACAGAGCCTGTGACCCTCTGCACAGCGTCGTGGCTGTGCCTGGCTCGCTCCCACAGGAAACTGCTTGGATGTCAGAGGAAACAGCTTTTTACTGCAACTCTGTAAAAACCACTTGCAAACCTCTCCCTAGTCTCCATCCGTGCTGCAGGCTAATTGGGGCAGCTAGCTGTTAGGAGTCCTTTTCTTTAATTACATCTAAAGTTATACTGGAGAAACATTCCCCAAGAGAGACTCTGGCAACATCTGCAGCACTGCATGTGATGGCAAAAATACAGTAGGGTATCACTGGACTAAAAGATGTGTGAGTTATGGGCTGGGAGGTGCAGTATCAGAACTTTCTACCACTTCAGGGTGAGCTGGAAGCAAGATGGTTGGGTCCTCAGCACAACATAAGTAGCATGGTTGCCCTGCCTGGCAGCCCTGTCCTGGGGAATGGCTCATTCCTGCTTGGAGGGTTTCCCCAAAATACATTCCCTGGAGCTAGTGCACTTTTTGCCACATCCCCCAGGGCTAGTCTGTGCTACACAACTCCAGGTAGAGGGTGCTGGTAGGTACCAGGGCAGTGTGACATCCTCTAGGGGCATCCTCAACTTCTACTCAACTTTTCAGCACAGCCCTGGCTCCTGGCAAGAGTCTGTCCTTGTCTCCTTTACATCCTGCAATGCTTAGCCCCACTCTTTACCCTTCAAAATGTTCCTGGAGCCTTTTTTTCCCCCCCACTGTGCTCATTTGCTTAAAATCATAGAGTTGTTTAGGTTGGAAAAAGATCTTTAAGACCTTTAAGATCATCAACCCAGCACTGCCAAGTCCACCACTAAACCATGTCCCTAAGAGCCACATCTACACATCTTTTTAACACCTTTAGGGACAGTGACTCCACCACTTCTCTGTGCAGCTTGTTTCAATGCCTGATCACCCTTTCAGTGAAGCAATTGTTCCTCATATCTAATCTAAACCTTCCCTGGCACAACTTGAGGGTGTTTCTTCCTGTCCTATTGTTGTTTCTTTAATTGTCATAAGTCTTTAATCTTCATAACTTCAGGTTTGTTACCAAATTCACAAGCAGTCTCTGATACAGGAAGATGGGTCATTATAAGTTGGAAGAAGACTTGGTAGTGAGAGGAACAGAGCTGGCAGATAAACTTGGAATGTGGTTATGAGTCCCAAGCCCTCCTTGCCCAGGGATGCCTCTGTTCCCTGAGGAGGGATCACACTGGGTGGGATCTCATACCACTGCTATTTCCCCAGCTCCTCCTGCAGCTCTCTCTATGTCCCTTGGATAAACAGCTGCAGAAAAGGAGCCTTTGTTTCCAGCAGTGTTGGGGGAATGGCTCGTGGTGGTACAGATAACCCTGCCTGCAGACAAGCTGAGAGGCTGCAGTACAACCGGGAGGGTACACAATGTATTATTCGCCAGCTGTTTCCTCTCCTTTCAAGACCTTTTTTATAAAACCAGGGGCTGGAAGTGATGCATGTGAGATGTGCAATCAACCACACAGAAGGAGTTTGAGCTTTTGTCTTGCTGGGTACTCAGACCATCCCCGTCATGAGGAACTGGTTTGTGCAAATCTGTGTCTGGACCTCCATGGTGTTTGACCGCAGGTGGCCCATGAATGTGTTTTCTTTCCACTCTGGCTGCCTGCTGAAGACCTGAAAATCTGATTTACAGTGGTGCCAGGTACCTGCAGCTTTGACAGACGGTAGCAGGAACAATGCTTTAAACATACAGAGAGGCACTCCCATGACTGGGGTCTTGGGGCTTTCTGCTTGGGCTCCTGGGTGTTCACAGCCTCCCCTTTGTATGACCCAGTCCCTAAGGGGGGGATAGCGACAGCCCCCCACTCCTTGGGCTGCAGATAAAGATGTTCTCACCTGCACTGGTGAGGTGCTACAGAGAAAAGCCCATGAGAAAAAAAATACAGGTCCCCATGTCCGAGTCCAGCACCGAGGAAAAACAATTGCCAAAGATGTGAATAAAAAGCATTCTTTTTTTTTCCCTTCAATCTAGCTATTCAGATGGCCATGAAAAATATGTCTGTTCTTTTCTTTTATAACCTCTTACAAGCTCTCAATTTTAGCATCCACTCCCCAGAGCCCATAAAATAAATGAGTAGCAACACCATAAAAATCAACAAAATCCAAACCCGTAGCCAGTTCAAATTCTGTCTCATTAAATGCATATTAAGAAAAATGCCTCATCTTACATAAATATGTAATTGTTTATAAATCTGTAACTAATTTAAGCTATTTGAAACAGTCCATAGTAGAATGACCCAGAAATGGAACAGGGTGCCAATAGACCATACTAAAAGACAAGAACAGATTAAATGGGAAATACCTCTATTTTAATATATTTGAAATTTTTTTCCCTAGAAAACCCATGTTAAAGAAAAAGGTAAATTTTTTCATTTATTT